ATATATTTATTATTTTTTTTATTTCAAATAATAACGATACGAAGACCTAACTAAAAAAATTGTTCGTGTTCGTACAACGAGCTTTTTTGACAGCCCTACTTTCAGCTCTCATTCTTCAAGCAGGACGGAGGACTGAGGATGGCGTCGATCCCACCGGCCGTTTGGGTTTCAGTCCCTACACCCCTCCCTTCTCCCTCCTCTATCGCCAGTTCTTACGGCCCCAATATTTTCTCACTTCTGCCTAGAAGATTGAAATCCCGCAGAGCCATCTCGGCTTCGTCCTCCGAAGATGGCGCTTCCGCCGGAGAAATCGAAATCTCTGACCGCGTCCGGCTTGCGTTCTCCAAGGCCAATGCCTATAGGAAAGAAAATACGTCGTCTCCGCAGGCGCTGGTAAACGCTAAGAAACCCTTTATGGATCCCGCAATAGAGGTCCGAGGGAGTGGCGGTTCGGAGCCGGAAGTCCCGATTGCTGTTAATCTGAACATGGAGAAGTCCAGGGAGAACAAGAAGAACAGGGAAGTCTCCGTTGAGGAACCAAGAGATCCCGGTAATGTTTTGAAAGTATTATGTTATTTGTTCATTGGCTTACCACTTTTATGGAAAATTATTAGATCAGGACTCCCCATGCAGAGCTGCTTGCAGAGTCCAATCTCGAGCACACGTGAAATTCCGACCCTACTTACATAAAAATGAAAAAATAATAAAAACGCACGACTCGACCCAACCGATACATTATAGGAATATTTTACTGCATAAGAATATTTTCCCGTATTATTTTGAATATTTTCACGTTATTTATGTGTTATTGATGTGTTATTGATGGTTTATGAATATTCCACCCGCGTTATTCTGAATATTTTTCGCGTTATTTATGTATTATTGGAGTATTATTAAGGGTTTAAGAATATTCTCTCGCATTATTCATGTGTTATTTAATGTGTTATTCAATCTGTGTTATAGGAATATTTCCTCGCGGTTGCGTTATTCTGAATATTTTTCGCGTTATTCAAGCATTATTGATGTGTTATTTATATGTTATTGGTGTGTTATTGAGGGTTAAAAATATTTCCAATTATAGGAATATTCCCTCGCGTTATTCATGTGTTTTTTAATGTGTTATTGAGGGTCTAGGAATATTCCGTGTTATAGAAATATTTCCACATGCTATTCTGAATATTTTCTACCTTATTAATGTGTTATTCAGAATAACGCAATGAAATATTCCTAATATTCCTATAACACGGATTCCTATAACACGGCGACAAGGATAAATAACACAAAAAATATTTGCTTAGGCTATGTAACACATCGTTCGGGTCGGGTCGGGTCTCGTGTTTTCCTTTTATATTCATTTTTTATGTAGATGAGCCGACATTCCACGTGTCAGCTCTAGATTGGACTCTGCAAGCGGCTTTGCATGCGGAGTCCTGATGTAATAATTTTTCCACTTTTAAGGCTTGTTTGACAATCTCAAAGATTTCAGTTAGAGACATGTACATAAATACGACAATTCTTATATATTTATACATTTAACGCCTATACTCTACTTTTTATATTATTAAACCCACATCTTTTATATCACATAAACATATGACTATTTTAAGGAAAAAAGTGAAATACAACTGTTAATGCATGGATAAGATGTCATATATTGAAAAATTGATGTTAAGTTGTTAGATATGTATATACATAAGAATTGAGTGATATTCATGAAAATCTTCCTTTATGTTATTAGACTAAATTCTGTAAATTTAGATTTAGTAAATCATGAAATGGTTAAATCTTAGAAATTGTTTAGTGGTAGATTTAGTAAATCCAACTCAATTTTGTAAAACTACTTGACAGCTGTTAAGTTAGTTATGAAACAAACAATTAAATTTCTATTAGTTCATTATTACGATAGAAAATAATTAATTTGTATTCCAATAAAGTATTGGAATTTTATTCAATCGTTGAAGCTTTATTAATTATCAATTAATTAGGGACTTCCTTAGCCTACCTCAATTGTACATAATCCTAATTACATTGTAATTAATGCTAGTTAACATATCAAATAATAATTTTTTTCTATTAAATTTATAAAAATAATATTTCAATTACTCATGGAATTATATAAAATACATTCCAATTACCTATTAATTAGCAAACTGTTATGTATTCAAACCAATATTATTGAAATGCAAATCTAAACATTTCCATAAAATTTAGTATAATTATATTAAGCTTATCAATTGAAATACAGTGCATGACAACTACTTGATATTTGACAGAAAATGAATTACAAAGGAACCAAAAGAGAATGCAATATTTTCATCTACATTGGAAAACAAAATTGCTTATCATGTGAAGTAAATGTTCAACTTGAGCATATTGTTTGAAAAACTCTGAGGGCAAATATATTAATACAAAAAAGGATACAGAAAAATTGTATGAGAGGACCTAAAAGAAAACCCAACTCATACAATATAACACACATAAAAAACTCAGATAAAACAAATATACAAAAAAATAAAAAACCAGAAAGCCACAAAAGGGCACAAAAATGCTAGGGACGTCTCACTTTAGTTCTCCTTTCTCTAGTTCTCGGAACTGAGCCGACTAACAAATTGGTAAGGTATGTTTCATTGCCCGTAGTAACCAAAGTATCATTCATCAAATTCCTGAGCTCAAGTAGGTTCTCATTCTTCTTCTTCCTCTTAGATGTGTAGACTTGTCATTCCTCATCCGATGATTGACTCATCTGATCAGTAGATTTCAAATGTGGTTATATATGTGTAGGTCGTTGCACGTCTTGATCCCCATGAACCTGAGTAATATTAACATCCTTCTGGACCTGATGAGGCAGTTGTAAAGCAGTAGAAGTATTTCCACCTATATTATCAGTGATAGATTCTAGGGTAGGCGTTGTCTGAAGAAACTCCCTCTCCCCCATGATAGGATGTTCCAAAGATGAGGGAGCTACAACTGGGGATTGAATAATTGTCATATTGCCTGTCTGATCAGAAGGAGATGAAATCACAACCTCTAGCGGAACAGTTTGCTTTTTTGGTCTGAGGTGGGGGTGTAGATGGTGACATTGAGATCTGGAGTGTCCGAACATACGACAGTTTGAACAATACGACGGAAAATGTTCAATCTCTACCTTCTGTCAATATCCATGATATTGTGTGTCTAACCAGATTTCCTCAGAAGCGGATGGAGTGATATCTCTTTCAAAAAGTACTCTGGCTTCAGAAGGACGGGACAAATTAAAAGTAGGAATGTTCGTCTTGAGTGGCTTCTCATAGGCTGAGGCAATAGAGTACAATACTTTTTGAGAAAAATAATAAAATTTCAGACCAGGGAGATGAATTCAAACTGGAATGATTGGTGGTTCCGTCTGTGGGTCAAAATCCACAGATCACTTCAGAATCTTCATTTTTATGTTATCAATCCATATTATCCTTCTAGCAAATAAGCGCATGCAATCTTCTTCATTACTAATTTGAATAAGAATGTGTCTCCCATCTAATAGCCCGATTTCCATTAGGTGTATTTCCATTCTCCAATAAGGTGTATAAGTTCAAATTCTTTGCGAATGAGCTCTATTTTGGGATGACCATATAGAAATTTTCCAACTAAATTCAGACGACAAGAGGAAGCAAGTTGAATACCTTCAACTTCTGTAAAAAAGATGACAGACTTTCCATTATTCCTACCAGGTTTCTTGATGTCTTCCGCCCACTCAAACGAAGGAGAGAAAGATGATGATTTTGGTGTGTCTGAGGCATGGACACTGGCAAGGGCAGCTGCATAAGATTTGTTTGAAGCCATCTTCAAAGATAGTTGTGACTTTTAGAGAAGAAAACAGACAGGGAAAAAATCGCGTATGCGGAAAAGAAACAGCGAGCGACGAGACGGCTGCAGAGTACGCGCGCGGGATGAGACAGGATGAGACTGGTCGCAGAGAGGAACGAGCGGCGAGACGGGCTGCAGAGAGGAACAAACGGCGAGATGGGCCGCTGAGCATGCGAGCGGGCGACGTAGACACATGAACACTCGATCGAGCGCAACACGTGAGCGGGCTAGCCTCGTCTCAGAGCCAGAAGAAGTGTGGGAGACGAAACAAAAATGAGTGCGAAGGAATCGAGAGGAAACAACGAAGCCGAAGTTGCTAGGGTTCGCCATCGGGCGAAACCCTAGCAAAGCCAAA